CTTCCCCAAAGGTATTAGCACGTAAGTGAATGTAATGGAATCGACTGGAATTCGAACTCGGCTTCCCGATTCCTCAATCCAAGCCGCTGCTCATTACTCCAGGTACGTTAAAAGAGCTCTTTACTGTTGAGCACAAGATAGAAGACAGGACGTTTATTTTTATTTACTTTTTAGGATATTTCTCCGATCCCATGTGCTTATTAATACCACTTCATTTATTAGTTTCGCACTTGGACACTTTAAAAAAATTTTTCCACCACACCATTTATTAAAAACCTCGGTTTATTTCACACTAAAAATATCGACTTCCCAATTATTAATACCCCGCAACTATTATACACGTAAGAGTAATGTTGAAGATAGTTGTGAACTTCTACGATTAGCGCTGATATATTTAATGTTGTCCATTGATTTTACTTTAATTCCTGGCAATCGTCTATCTTGTAAGATAATGGTAGAATGATTGAAACCATGACAAAATCTAAGTAGATAAAATGTCAGCCACTTATCCCAAAAGTGGACAAAATCCCAGTCCCATATCAGATTAATTAATAAGATTAGGTTGAAAAGCCAATCGCATGTTATCATATATTATATTAACATATATATATATATATATATATATATATATATATTAAAGATAAGATATGTATTTATTGTCAGTATTACTTTTCATTCAGCCATGCATTCGCCAAGTTCTTAAATAGCTTCGTCAGATCGAGAGACATTCATATGAATGTCAGGCAAGGCTTTAAACTGCTAGTTGGACACAATCGCTTTCAGAGATCAATGCTTAAAAATGGCTTCGAGCAAGTGAATCCAAGACAAAAACCCAGTGGACAAAATCCGAGTAAACAAAAAATCCAGTGGATACCATCCAGTAGACAAAATTCTAGTATCATATAAGCAACAGATTTCTGAGATCAATGGTTAAAATGGATTAAAATTTAGTATTAAGTGATAGGGGAATTTAACATTTTCCAGGGTAGCCTTGACAAATTCCAAAATTTACTACGAAAACCAGAAAAATTGATGCATGTTCTTAAATAGTCTTGTCAGAAAGAGACTTTCATATGCATGTGTTATGCATGTGTTATGCATGGCTCCAAACCCGTTCAGAAATATCTAAACTGTCATCTCTATACAACAGCTTTCTCAGTTTAATTATTAAAATGTCTTTCAGTGGATAAGACCGTGTATGTCATAACGACGACAATCCTTCAACGAACCTCCGTACTAATGCACTAAAGAATCACAGAGAAGTTGCCAAATAACAGAAAACACATCACGAAACCCGTTCATAAATATCTAAGCTGTCTTCTGTATACAACAGATTTCTCGGATTTATAATTAAAAATGGCTTTCAGTGGATGATATCCGGTACGTCTTAATGAGACCCATCCTCCTACGAACCTCTTGTTCATGCACTAAAGAATCACAGAGAATTGTGCCAAATAACAGAAACCACATCAAACCCGTTCAGAAAAATCTAAACTATTAGCTGTACACAAACTCTTTCTCAGATCAATGGTTAAGAATGACTTTGAGCGAGCGAATCCATAATATAATCCTAGCGGATAAAGTCCGAGTCTCATATAAGATTCATTAAAAAGATTCCCCTGTTTTCATATTATATTACATTAAGACGGGCTATACATGTATTCGTTGTTATTCATCTGTTTCAAGTGATTATTCATAATTATGTATCCATAAATGGAGCATGATTTTGTGAGCAGGAAATAAGTATATACATTGGATATTGTGTTTATTGTCACATTGGAGTGTATATATTGGATACTGTAATAATAGGTGTATATATTGGATATTGTATATATAAATGCATATATTGGATATTGTATATATAAATATATATATTGGATAGTGAACATATAAGTGTATATATTGAATATTATTATTATTATTGTCTCAATTAGACATTAAAAGTTGAATTTAAAGTTCATTGAATTTTCAACGTTAAATTTGTTTCTTTTTATATGAGATTTTATTTATGGGACTAGAATTTTGTTCACTTTTAGGATAAGAGTCTTAGATTTTGTCCAGTGGTGTTTTGTAACAGAGATTTAGCACAGTTACCATAAAGTCTAGGCAGTCAGAATCTTGAATAGAAATTTTACCCGCAAGTAATGTTTGTGATACTGGTGCGACGAGCATGAACTTGATTTTGCCGCCTTGCGTCGTTTAGTGTCTAGCATCTAATGGTTGCCCTTGTCCTCGTCTCTCTTGACGCTTTTTCGAACAGCCTGTCGCCAGATACTGCGGTCATCAACAATTCCTCCCATCTATCTGAATTTGCGCTTGTAAACACACTTAAAGCGCAATGTAGTGCGTCATACTGGACAATATTCTATAGCCAGCTCATCGTACATAACACCCTTTGTGATTCGACTATCGATGAACATGACCCAACCATTGCCGTTGTCGCTGGCAGAGGAGGATGTGTAAGCATGAGAATCCTATTCGCTTCATGACATCGATATGACAAGTTTCTCTTGCCACGTGAAAACGAGGGTGAGTCGTAGGTAGCGGAGATGGAAGCGGAATGTATTTATTAAACATTCTTACTTAATATCTTTATACCTCACTGTGGCAGAGGGGTTAAAAGGTTAGTATTTCGACCACGAGACCTGATTTTCAATATCACCATGATCCTTTTCCCAAAGATCTGATTTCTTGTTAATATCGACCAAGAGAGACGACACCAAGCGAGAAACTTGCCAAGTCTTGGGAGTAAAATTGAGTTGAGCGAACTGTTTTTTTTTAGAGCTACACTACAGTCTGTCCTTGTATATGGCTCCTTAACCTGGACACCAACAGTCAAGCTGGTTAGATGGTGCTTGCACACGGATGGTTCGAGCAGCACTAAACAAATTCTGGAAAGATCACCCAGCAAAGAAAGATCTCTATGGCAACATGCCTCCCATCAGTAAATTAATACTCCCACAAAGACTAAGATTAAGCTGGTCATTGTTGGCGTAACAAAGAAGAACTAGCTGGAAAAAGAACACAAGACCAACCAGAGATGTACATTGGTCATCTGATTGGAGACACGGGATGGAGACTGGATAAGCTTTCAAAAGGAATGGATCGACGCAGCGTATCACAAATGCCGAGTTTTCTCGACCTGATGATCATCATCATCATGAACTGTTCATTATCCGTCGCTAGTTGTGTTAGCAAAAAGTACTGGCCTTGTTCGAAGCTGTTGGTCCGGCCAAATTATGCTCTCTCTCTCTCTTTCTCTCTCTCTCTCTCCCAGAAACTGTAACTATGGTCTGCACAGTAGATATTTACTTGACCCCCCCCACTGAGTCAGGTTGTGACACAAGGTCGGTTTTTAATGTGGGGAACCCGAGTGTTTTCACTCGGGCTGCTGGTCTAAGCTGGTCTTAGCTGGTCATAGCCTGTCTAAACTAGTCATAGCTGGTCTTGGCATATCATAGCTGGTCCAGACCCGAGCCGGTCCAAGCCAGGCGTAGCCGTGATACTACCAGCAACAGGGCCGAAGCACAAATGCCAGGGAAGTATCCTATGGTCTGGTCAGTAAAGTTGCAATATAAACCACAGGTTGACTCTGTGAATTTTGAAGAAACACAAATGTGCCTGAGCAAGAATATGCAACAGAGATTAGCTTCCCACCATAGCAGTCATGCATACTCGCAAACGAACAGCTAGCCTTTTTTACATCACCATTTTCCTGACGCTATACTATCTTTTTTTGATATCGTATTTAATGGTATATATTGTAATGCATATCATCTATTCTCTTGAACGGATTCTTGTATTAGTTATTTTCTTGTCTTTCAGTTGAATAAACCATTCTTGTCTTTCAGATCAATATACCATATATCAGTCAATTATGTGCCAGGCGTGATACACGTTTAGGCGATCATGTATCTTTCGATATATGGCTGACGAAGCAGATTTTTTTCCCACAGTAGGTTGCCATTTCTTACTGCGGTAGACCAGTTGCCATCCATGGCTATGGAACGCGGTCTGTCTTGTTATTTACCCTTAGCTTAGAAGAGGATTCATACATTTCCCAAAAGTATTAGCACGTAAGTGAATGCAATGGTTTAGACTGGAGTCAGTTCTGTGCCTTGCATGATACACGATTAGGCGATCATGTATCTTTCGATGCATGACTGATGAGGCTGGTTTTTCCCGCAGTAAGTTGCCATTTCTTTCTGCGGTAGACCAGTTGCCATCCGGTCTGTCTTACTATTTACCCATAGCTGGGGGAGGAGAAGAAGAGAATTCATACCTTTCTCAAGGGTATTAGCACATAAGTGAATGTAGTGAATTCGACTGGAATTCGAACTCTGCTCCCCGATTTCTCAATCCGATCCGAAAAACTCGCACTATACTCGAGTATAGTACGAGTTTTTCTGATAAAATGTTTTTACTAAAATATAAGGTGTCGTATTACAGGCAGTTTTCTTTAAGAGTTTAATAATCATATATTTTGAGGGACAGGTTGCATTATACATAGGTAATTTTTCTGGCAGGGTTAAAATTCATGCAAATAAATCATTATACATGAAGTCGTCTTATACACGAGTATATAGGGTAACATGTTTTTAGCACAGAACACAGCAAATAGCACTTAACCAAACCGGTTCATATTGTTTTAAGATGTAATATGTAGCTCTTTAATCATACCATAAGTGGATAAGTGGGTCATAAAAACACGAAACGATGAGGTACAAAGGACTGTTAAAAATTAACATAGATTTAAAGAACTGAACTTTTAAAATATTTAAAAACAAAAACAAACTGTCGATATTATTAGTAATACTTGGAGAGCCTTAAAAGAATAATAAAGAAAAAGAAAGAAAAGCACCAAAGCGAAGTATTTTTGTATGCGATGTGAAGAACAAGAAAATGGCCTCCAACAAATGTCTTCGTTGAGTATTTCCGCAAAGCAAATCTGAAGCCAGCACTCTGTTAAAAAGCGAATCGGAAGCAAAATGAAACTCTACCTTTTTGAGGAAGGTCACCATAATGATCGCTGCCATCATCATTGTCTTCATCCTCATCCGAATCCCTCGTTTTACATCTGGTATAATCGAACGATTGCTGGTCTGAAATCACCAAACGATATTTATACCACGAAAAGTCCATTTAAACACTTCTGGTGTTAAGACAAAGGCGGACGATGATTATTATTATGATCTTTAAGCAGTTTCAGTTATATCACTTGAAGATGGCCGGAGCGTACAACGACCGAAATGCCGTGAATATGGCAATGATGATGGGGACAATAGTCCGAAAAATGTAAAGAGTTACAATACCTCATTTGAAATATAGACGCATAATAGTTGGTCGACATTGTTCTAAAAGATCAAATCATTTGTTTCGACTTTGGTCATGATTATGTAAATTTTGGTCATGATCATGTAATCTTTTTAAACAAATGCAAAGAGAAGGTTTTATTTTTCTGTTCAGTCCTATTTGCCATTATTCTTGATTACTGTTATTTCCCTCGTATAGAACCGCGGCCTCTAAACGTTTTGCGCCAAGGACCGGTATCGTGAAAGACAATTTTTCCACAAACCGGTGTCGATTACGCACCTAACAAAACACATTAAACAAGACCGCGATAGTATTCATTCTGTACCGTCCAGTACCAAATAGTCCACGGCCCGGTACCATTCCGCGGTCTGGTGGTTGAGGACCGCTGGTATACAGGACACTACACACGTTCACTTTTACCAAGATAATAATAAAAAAATATTAGGGCAATCGGGAAAGTAATTACGATTTACTAGGATGGATATAAAAACGAATGTAAGTGAAATTCATTTACATATTTATTTTAATTATGTAATCATGGGAAGGCAATTTGCCGATTCAACGTCTAAAGAAATCTGTGATTATTTTTTCCTGGAGAAATAATTTGAAATACTATTTTCAACGTTTTTGTTTCTGAATGTTCTGCCATTTATAAAACGTTCTAGACAAATGAAAAACGAAAACTGTAGCTGCTTAATCCGTTGAAGCTAGAGGATATGGAATAACATCCCATTATAAAGATCTTATCTTTCCATCTGTTTTTTTTTTTTTTTGCAGGGTCTACCCTTACATTGTCACGCTGGAGAATAACATCTTTTCCGTTTATCAAAGCATGACATTTTCGATGTAATGCTTGGTTTAACCGGTCAAAGTGATAGTGATAAACGCCTGGAATTGTGGTCCTTCCATATCCCAGTAATTCTTAATGGACGACACCTTCCATATTCCAACAGACACAAAGCAATGACTTCTGTCCATGAAATCTTGGTTTTGGTCATGGCATTGGTTATTCATTTTATGATGTCCATTGTCTTCTTTTCTGTTGTCATTCAAAAGTAATTCTTTTTTACCTCTAACAATGCAGTCTAAAATAAATTGTTGATATTCTTGTTTAAAAGACTTTTGCTGATGGTGCAGCGTTGGGTTCAGTTCACAAGCGAAAGCTCATGAGGAATCCAAATCTCCTATTTGCAAGTTTTCCCAATTCACTTGAGATGTTCATAGACCAACGAACACGACACAATGTTTCTGTGCCAAATCTTGAGGTCGATCCAATTCAATCGACTATTTCAAAAGTTATCTATTCAGAGCTTGTTGGATATATAACAGTCGTAATTTTAAACCTTTTAAACCACAGCTAACATGTATGAGCCTTTATAGTATCCATATAAATTGCACAAATATTTTTAAAAAACATTTGTGCAATATATATGGATACTTCAACTTAAAACTTATATGATTCTGTAGCTGTACTACTCTTTTGGAATTCATACAATAGGCTAAGGCGAATATGTTGATAATGACAGTTATAATCAGCCAAGGAGTTAAACTATAAAATGAACTCTATATAAGACTCAGAAGAAATGATGAAGTAATTGTATGTTTTTTAAGATAGATTCAACCATGGTTCAGGTTTATTTGGTTGACTCAGAATTTAGAGCAGTGGAATACGCAATTACTTTTCGAATACCTAATATATATATATATATATATATATATATATATATATATATATATATATTGTGGGCTGCTGGATCATGTAAATTAAACTGTGTGTATTTAGGCAGCATCTTTTCATTCATGCACGTTTCATTAAATAATATAGACAAGTGTTGTCTATTTATTTTATGTAAATTTTTTTCGTAACATCTGATAAGTTTAATAACATTATCGTTGAACGAAGAAAGAAATTCACAATATTGATCCATATTTTTTTAATACAATCTAAGCTTTCGGCTTACATAAGCCATTATCAAAGATGTTAATTACAACATATTAAGCAATATACGGACACGAAAGTGATGATAGTCTTTGATTGTTTACAGAGATGATTTCTAAGCAATGATAAACACGTGCATATAAGACGCTAGAAGCGAAAATCGCACAGCATCTCATGACGTCACACATGACCACACGAGAGTGAATTGTAGAAGTATGGGAAGCCGTTGGTATAAACCAATGGCTTCTGTTACCAATTATAGACATTTAAGAATATTTGTAGAGATGCCATAATTGCCATAAACAGTTGAAACCTAACCTAAACAAAATCAATCATGTTCCTTCTTATAAATGCTTTCCTTATAAAGCTTTCCAACCGAATGATAAAGTAATGATAGATTCAAACATGGTTCACGTTTATTTCGTTGACTCAGAATTTAGAGCAGTGAAATACGTAATTACTTTCCGATTACTCTAATATATATATATATATATATATATATATATATATATATATATATATATATATATATATATATATATATAGCAAATATAAATGGATATAAATCCGACAGAATGAAGAAAATTTGGAAAAAAAACAAACAAAAATCCTTAAATGCAATTATATTTTAAAATGAATGAAATGTCGACGTCTGACGTTTCGGTTTAATAAACCTTTTTCAAGACAATATTCATTAAAATACAATTCAGTTCGATTTCACAAAGACGATGGACATAAAAAACAAGTCTTATCCAAAACAGATAACTGAAAATTTTTTAGTTATCTGTTTTGGATAAGACTTGTTCCACGTCGACATTTCATTCATTTTAAACATAATTGCATTTAAGGATTTTTGTTTGTTTTTTCCAATTTTTTCTTATATATATATATATATATATATATATATATATATATATATATATATATATATATATATATATATATATATATATATTCATTCTTATAATTGCTTGCCTTATAAAGCTTTCCAAACGAACCACATGGTCCTGTTTTTTCGCAAAGTCACATTGTAAGTCCGTCATTAATTTGTTGAATTCCAAGTACCAAACTAATCAACGGCTTACATAAAATGCTTGTGAGAGAAATCGGTCTATAATTTCCACGTTCTAAATTGTCTCTTCCTGGTTTTAGAATCGGTAGGACAGTTGTTTGTCGTCATGGTCCCGAGAACTTCCCCTTTGCCCAGATATCATTGTATATTTTAGTAACAATTTTAATGACTCATGAAACAGACTGTCACCGCTCGGCGTTGATCTTTGTGTCCACTTTATATATAACTTGATTAAATCTTTGATAATTCTTACGTGGCACAATAAATTCAGCGAAAATGAATATTAAATGATCCCCTTTTTTTAATTCTCGTTTTAATCACGATCACGTGTCCATAACCCATTAGAGTCGTAGGGTCACCACACGTACTGCAGCCGTAGAAAAGTAGCGTGCTGGCAGAGCCCGACCACCTCCAAGCCGATTCGAATTTCGTTTTTCTTTACTTATATTAATTGCCAACCAAGGCACTCCCTGCCCGGTATTAATCTTAATCTTTATAATGAATTATTGAGAGGAAGTTAAGTCGCTGGGCTTCTTTTGGATATGCAATTTGGAACATACCTGGTTGTGATGGTCTCTGTATTTCAGGTTCCACTGGCATTTTCACCCGTGTTTCTGACTGGTCTGGTAAAATGTGAAATAGAAATACAATACTAGGAAAAAAAACTGGTTGTCTATCTGAATTCAAAAGACTAAATAACAACGCTGAAACGGTTGGTTATAAGTTAAAACAGATACTTGTAAAATTAACCTAATTTTATCGCAAGACACATTACTACAGTGACGTGCCAAAAGTCATGAGATAGCCGCCGAAGACTCTCTATCACGGTAAAGTGTATCGGTTCGACGTGGAATCGATTCTACTCATGATTAGAGAAACATTGATCGATGCATTCCCGATTCCACAACTTATTTTTTTTTAATGTTTGTGGGTTACCTTTCAATCATGTCGGCCGATTGTAGTAGTCACACAATTCGTTGGAAACCTTATTTTTGTTTTACAATGGTGTTCAACCTGTACCATGCCCAATAACCACTTGTGATAGAGTAAGAGGAAGGAATTATGGGAAGATGTGGGGAAGATAACGGAACAGGTTAAGATTATACCGATCGGGAAAGCATTCTCTTGGGAGTCGGTTCCACAGAGCAGTGGTTCGTGGGAAGAATCTGATCAAGAATGAAATACGAAGTAAATGAGTGTAGTCCCTAAACTCTGCGTGGCATGGCGGGTTTTATAATTGATGGAACCAAAGAATGTATTCACTTGAAAAAATTCTTATGGAAATAGTGATGGAGCAGCGAGAAGCTTGCATCATTTTGTCAGTGGATACAGGGATGATGGTTGTTGAGCACGGAAACGTTTTTGTGCTCTATCGAGACTGGAAACTTCTGGGAAACTTGGCCTCGTAGACACGGTAGATTCTTCTGCTAGGCTAACCAATCGCTGGTGGACTATCTGGTGCCCATGCATGTAAATGGTAAATGTTCACGAAAAAGTGCATCGTAGTGGTTACCAATCACCGGAGTGATTGGAAGATCTCTAGAAAAATGTTGATTGATGTTATCGCGATAGAATCCTTGAGAATTCTTAATGCCCTTACACTGGAATAGAACCGAACTGATTCGAATCGATTATCTGCATGTGACCGTTGCATCTTAAATGGTAATAACAAGGATGCGATAACATCAGTAAGAAAGAAATCAATATTAATATTAATATTAATAATAACAATAATAATAATAACTAGTTTTAACCAGTGAAAATTTCATGGTTTTTCTATTTGAATTTGCCGATGAATCCTAATTCTTAAGTTAATAATTGAACAAGTTCATGACGAGTTCTACAACAATAAAATATCTGTAGAAAGTCCGTTGTCGCATTATTTAATATTTGAGCTTAACAGTTTTAATAAACCATTGCAATAACAATAATAAATATGAATGCTCGTCGTTATTTTAAGAAGTAAGGGTGTACAAAGGAAAATATTTGAAATTGAGAATTTTTCCATTTCATTGAAACAGCCTCTAAACACTCCTGTCTTCCTTGCTTTCTTTCTTTCATTTTCTCACTGAAACCAAGTAGTGTCTTCTTCCCTCTTTCGATACGATCAAAACTGAGGTATTGGCAGGGCGTAACGGTCGTGTGAACTAAGGAAATAACGAAGGGAGAGACAAGCATATTATATGATGATAATAAATAACGATGATGATATATATTTAGGCATCAAGAATTTATTTAAACAAGTTATATTAAATTCTATCGTTTAGTTTTCTGTTGTATTTTTACCAATTTTCGAATAAGCCGTTGCGCATTCGAACATTATGAATAAACGATCCAAAATTCATGATTCAGTTCTGTTTTGGTTCGAGTACTTGCGACCATTTCGGCCATTATGAAGAATTAAATGTTGTCTTTATCGTAGATAAGAGTTGTGGTCTACATCATGGCATTTTGGGAACGTCACATCTCAAATATAAATATACTTATATCGTAAAATAACTTTCTAAGTAGAACGGTTTCACAGAACTTGACAACACTAGAAACGAGGTTTTTATTAGGTTGAGTCATAAGTAATTTCCATTTTTGGGAACCAGTTGTAATAAAGAATGTTTATTTAAGCAATACCCGAACATTGTTTTGTGGCACAAGGGCGAAGGAGAAACGAGGAAGGACTGGTTAGCATTGACTATCCTACAACTAGCTCATCCGACTTGCGGCCCATTCACTATAATGATTTCCTCAAGCACCACAAGAACCTATCATTCTCCGTTCAATCCAACATGTACCACAGTACCACATGTTCGTAGGAGTCCTACCAAAACATTCATGATGTTAAAATTTATGTACAAATATATTGTAATGACGAATATTGTAATGACGAATATTGTAATGACATATACCATCCCAGAAACTAATCACACGTGGCAGTGAAGAATTAATTTGGAGTACATACATTATTTATAGAACGGCAATGGCAACGTACACAGTGAATTAAAGAAAAATGTTTTTCTCCTCCATGACAACGTAAGACTGGATACTAAAAGGCACAGCCGCTCGTATTCGGGGATGCCCGTCAACTAGAGCCGCTAGTTAATCCCTATTGCAAATGCTTGCTCGGGCACATTTGTGTTTGTTTAACACCCACACGGCCCGCCCGTGGTTTATACTGCATCTATGCCGAGTTACACTTTCTGGGAGAGTGCGCGTTATCTGACGTGATCAACAGTCTGAACAATACCTGCACGCTCAAACCCTCGGTCACGATGACTTGCGACTTCGTGCTCGCACAACCACCGACCGCTTCCAAGGGTCTCGTCTATACGATTTCACTCACAAGGCTTGGGACAACCCGTGGTATGGTTTTCAGGTACTTTCCAAAGGTGCTGCACGCAGAAATCACCTCCATGGTGAAATTCGAACTTGGGTCTCATGGTCAGAAAGTGAACATTCTAATCACTCTTCCACTGCAGGAATAATCAAAGAAAACCAGTTTGGTATCTGCTTGGTCTGTTCTATCCCTCTCCCCCCTATTTATCCGGCCTTGCACTAATCGATTGTTTTATTTTCGATCGCTGCAAACGTGCCAGGAAAAATTTGGTTGAAAAGCACTCTGAGCTCGACAATAAGGAAAATGTTGTTCTCTTCCATGACAAGGCAAGGCCGCATAGAGCAAGAATAACAAAGGAAAAATAATTGGAACTCGGTTAGTCTCTTCTGGCTCATCCGCCATATTTAGCTTAGCTTGCATCAACCGATCGCTGAAAAGTTGCTTTGATGGGGAAAATTTTCTTTAATGAAAACCAAATTCAAAAGTTCGTCGCAAACTTTTCACATCAAAACCAGCTGGATTTTTTACTCAAAATCTATCTAAAAGCCGTCAAAGAAAACAAGAAATTGCAGATATTAGTGAATATATAATTGAATAAAATGTAAAAGAATAAATTGGTAAACCCAAGAAAAGAAATTATTTATGACTCAAGCTAATAAAATGCCATCTCATGTGGTAAAATGTGGTTTCCATAGTCTTCTAATTAACTCCCCTTAAAGTTGAAACTATTATGTAATAAATGCATCTGTTTAGATCTTTTTCTTACTTCTTGTCTTAATCCTTAAATGAGGTAAAAAAAAAACTTCAACGAACGTGCACACCAACAGGATAAAAAACGAATAAAATAATGCACTTAAACGGTATTTCTATGCTTACCGTAAAATTGCCGGGTACAAATTGAGTTTTCAAACCTAAAAAATCTTTCCAAAACTAGGGTTCGATTTATATAGAGGGTATAAAGTACAAACACTACTTACCATACCTCCAGAAGGATATTATAAATATATCCCACTAAAACTTGTGTTTGGGGAATATATTTGTCATATTAACACAAAAATTAATATAAAATAATGAAATAGTAACACAAATTCAGTATTATATTAACGCTACAGTACACAACGCGTCCAACAGCTGTTACACTAAGTGATGGCATCACTATTTGTTTGTTTACATAACTGATGCAAAATGGCGGAGTGATAATTTGTTTTACAATAACATACAATACGTAGCAGTACTATACAAAACAACCTGGTATGATGTGCAATCCACGGTATTAATATTTTTTTAGCAGTTGATGTTGACTGTAATGTGTTTTTTAGTAGACCTGACGATTTTTAAATGTCTGTTAAGTTATACCGAAATATACGGTACATACCGGTGTGTGTTGTAGGTTGTTTGCTATACAACGCAAACAGAAAAGATATTACGGTTACAGTCTCAATAGACAGGTAAGTGGTGTGAGTGACCTAATGTCGTCTTGGTACAGGTTACCATATAGTGTAGCCTAACTTCAATTACCAGTAGGCTTGTTTTGGGCCACTGGTAGACTACCGTACGTTTGGGTGACTACCTATCCGTACGAATAGGTCTAACTCAGAACGTTGAGCTAAAAATGTACGTCACGTTGACATGTACGCTGCAATTTACGATAATTTTGTTTTTTATTATAACCCCCCCCCAAAAAAAAAAAAACACTTGATATTTTAAAACTCTTAAGTTATGCATTGGACGTAAATTAGCGGACTTATCAAAATTTGGACGCTGTAGCATTGGTGAAAGTAGTCATTATCGACGCTCAGATGACAACGAATTACTTAAAGAAAGAAAAGCTGGAGCCAATGTATATCCTACCTGAAATATCACTATATGTGCTGCCTTGGTAATCCATTCGTTGAAGATTCAAATGTTGTAAGTTTTGCCCTGTGGACAATTCAAAAATGCAGGCTGAGACATGCAAGTCAAAAGCTTCTCATTTCTATCTTGTAGAATAAAATATGTTTCAATTTCCTACTTTCGTTCACACACTCACAGACACACACGTACACTGATGCTGATACAAGTTGATGTACTTATATACAATTCTATCGCTATGCTTAAAAATAATTAAATAATTAAAAATAAATTTTGAAAATTGTCAGTATGATTACTTTTTTTTTTTAAAAATGATTACTTTTAAAACTTTAACAGGTAGAATTTTAAAACGAATAATTGGACATTTATTAATGATTATTTTTTGAAATTTCAACATTTAGAAAGCTAAAACGATAAATATGAAATTTTAAGATTATTATCCGCGAAATTTAAAAATGATTATTTTTGAAAGTTTAAAACTTAAAAGATTAAAATGATTATTTTGATATGTTAAAATTTATAAATGGAAATGATTCCCATGAAATTTAAAAACTGAGAATTTGAAAAGGATTATTTAGAAATGATTATTCTGAATTATAAACATACAATATTTTAATAAGATTATTTTGAAATGGTAAAATTTAGAATTTTAAGACGATTTGTTCTATACTTTTAAATGGTTACTCTGAAATTTAAAATTTTTTCAAGAATTCAGAAATTCAAATGATCCAGTGGGAATTTAAAATTTAGAATTGTATATAATATTCACAAAATGTTAAAATTTGGAATTTTAAAATTATTGTTTTGAAATTTTAAAATTATTGTTTTGAAATTTTAAAATTTAGAATTATTAAGTAATTAAGTGTGATTAATTTTAGAATACGATGTTTGAAATTTTTAAAAGATTATTCTTAAATTTTAAATTTAGATTCTTAAAATAATTATTTTGAAACTTTAAAATCCTGAATTTTAAAACTATTCACTTGTAATTTTAAAATTTAAAATTTTAAAATGATTAATTCGATGGTTTATAATTTGAAAATAAGTTTTGAAATATGAGTAAGATTTATTTAAAATTTAATATTTTAAAATCACACCATACATTTTGAAAAATGTCTGTAAAAGCAACTTTTTTTTGAAAATGTATACTTTTCTAAAAATAAAGATGTTTAATGTTTTAAATTTATCTTTGAACTAAAAGAATGCAAAATATGTTTGGAATAATTCTGTAATAAATTGAAAAAGAAGAAACTTTAGAATGTACATTAAACAATAAAATTCTAAAATAAATAAATAAAAACAAATTTTGGAAAAAGATTTTCTTAATTACGTTAATTTGATAGCATGTACAACCCAGTGTTTACATTAAATGTTCTCAGCAAGAGAAAAAGCCCAAGAAAAAAGCCTAACGAACTAGAGATGTCAACATTAAACAAGTACAGAAGTATTTTAACAGAGAATGGAAAATGAGACACCGAAATCCGAACGCCCATAGGATTAGCAAAAGATGCCTTTCAAAAGCTAAGCAAAGTACGAAGGAAAAGGAGAATTTCGTTAGAAATAAAGAAAAAAGCGCTGAATTACTTTGTGTTATTAATCCTCTTGTATGGCAATGAATGATGGTTTATCTTCTCAACTCCCCGATGAAAAAGAAACTAGAGGTAACAGAATTGTGGTTATACCGAAGGATGCTGAGAATACCATGGACGGAGGAACGAGGAAGTTTTAAAGAAAATAGCAACAAACAGAACATACTCAGAATCAGAAAGAGACAGAAAGACACATAATGAGGAAGGAGGGTTTGGAAAACGTAACCCTCACAGGGCATATCGAGGACATGAGAAATAGGGGGAAGTCAGCGGACAACTTACCTGATGAACTTGTGCGAACAGATGGCTGGGGGTTAAAGAAAGAAAATTTTACTAAGAGCCATGATCGTCCACATTCTGAAAGGACACGGCACACAGAAGATTAGAGAGTTGAACTATTAGGTTGGTGCAAAAATAATGACGTAATAATGTCGTTTTTTGATGTATTTTTTAAGGTCAAAAAACGACATTATTACGTCATTATTTTTGCACCAACCTAATAAGTACCAAGTAAAGCGGCACAAAAAGTGTATTTCTCTCAGGATGTATATCAAATATTAAAAGGTGAGGGTGGCTAAATAAGGGTAGGCGGAGGACTAAATCAGATGTTAAGATTCTTGATTTTATATTATACAATAGGGAATAGGTTATAGTTGTTCCAACATTTATTAGGTTGGTGCAAAAATAATGACGTAATAATGTCGTTTTTTGACGTATTTTTTAAGGTCAAAGAACGACATTATTACGTCATTATTTTTGCACCAACCTAATATAAAAGAGGGACGTTTTGTTTTAATATATATATTTTATTCTTCATATTTCTGCTACACGAAAATAGGCAAATAAAAGGAATACATTTTTAAAAGAAATACATTTTCCTTATGTTCTTTTAATATCTCAGTGCTTGTTTTCTGTAATTATTACAGAGCTTTGAACTCCTTTTTGGAGTTCTAAAAACGAACAATAAGACATTAAAAGAACATAAGGAAAATTTGCTAACAACAACAAAGATGAGGATAATAGTCCGTGTATAAATAGTGTAAATAATGAGAACTCCTCATTCAAGAAATTCAGACACAAATATGGCATTATATTTGGTTCACAAATATTTATAGTTTTGAAAATAAACATGGCCAAGGTTGTCAAAAGTATAGACAGTAATAGCAGCATCAAAGAAATAATCGTCCTTTTGACACAAGGATTTTTTTGCGGCCACGAATTTTAAACATTGTCTATTTTAATTATTTTTTGCTTAAACTTATTTTCTGGAATGAAACCTATAGAATTTTACCACATGTAAAAATTAAATGATATAAATTCATTATTCTTTAAACATGATATAAAATAAATTAGTTTTATTTATTTGTTGTTTATCGAAATATATGCATATACTAATTTTTATTTAGCTTTAACTATTTTATTTCATTTTTTTTATAAACATTTCACTCCAAGCAAGGCAGGAGTGCCACAAACACGCAAGGGGTTACAGAGAATGGGAGCAAGAGTAAAGAGGCGTGATAGAGGAAAGGATAAAGAGAAGGCCGGGGAATAGATCGAGGCACCTGGAGATGTCGATTGATATTGCATTTGAATATTTGAAGATTATAGCTATCAGGGGAGCAAGTAAGAGGAAGGGAGTTCCACAGACGGAAAGTGCGAGTCATGAAGCTATTGGAGTAGAAGAGACGGCTATATGTAACCGTTTTGGTAGTGAAAGCGTGAAACGGAGATGCCAAACTAATAGAACGTTGAAATTCATGCATTTTGGGAACCAGCGAAAGTAGCTCGTCGGGGCAGTTACCTGAAAATATTTGTAGAAAAGACAGAGGGAAGCAACGGCACGTCTGTGAGAGAGCGACTGTAAACGAGATGCCAGATCAGGGCCAATCACATGGCATATCCGTTTCTGGATTTCGTCGAAGACCTTAAGACGAACAGCAGGGGCTCCAGACCATATATAGCGGAAGTATTCCATGCAAGCGTGGATAGCTGATTTGATTCAATTTAATTTTTTAACGTAAAACAGCGGGATTTTTCATCTATCCGCGGATTTGTGTATATCTCTAATCAGTCCTCGCCAAACCAATCTGTACCGTGCTAAGAGTTACAGGTTATCCAAAGTCTTCAAATGTTTTTAACGGGAATAATGGAATTTTATTGATAGTTCTTTTGTTATTCAATGTGTATACGATAGTTGATCGACGTAATTCGAGATATTTACAAACACTTAAATAAGAAGAGTCCACCTTTTAATGGTTGACAGCCTCAGCAGTCATTACCTTTTCCGCCAATAAATTACCAATCACTTCCAGTTAGAAATACTCTTGTCGTCTCGCACGATGTCTGAAGCAAATCTCGTCAGTCGAGATCAATTTACGAGAACTACATATGGAAATAAAGTCATTTCTATAAATATGGGAACAATAGAGAAAAGGTCATTTTTTTTTTAGTTTATGGCCATAACGTTACTATATATATATATATATATATATATATATATATAAGTTTATATTTACACACGATCTATCACTGATATTGAGCACTTTAATCCCATAAATGTAAGACTATATTTCTTCATATATATATATATATATATATATATATATATGTATATAAAAATATATATATATATAAAAGAAATATAGTCATAAGATGTGCTATATTTATGGGATAAAGTGCTCAATATCAGAGATAAAGCTAATTGTAAATATAAGAGTGAACATAGAAGTCAACACTTAGAGGCGGCAGTCTGTTTCATGCTGGAGGCAATCGTCAGGCCACCGATTGCATCTAGCATGAAACAGACTGTCGCCTCTAAGTGTTGACTTCAGTGTTCACTTTTATATATATATATATATATATATATATATGGGGGGTGAGTCAAAAGTAGAACATCATACGGGTTAATTAATTAATCATGTTTTAAATGTCTAATTTGTTTTGATAGGTCTAGTTGAGAAGACGGGCGAGGTCACCTTTTTTGGTGGGGTCATTTGAGATCAGTTGATTATCAGATGTATCCAAGAAATATTGAGGAACGAATTAAATACAAATGACAGTGGAAACTCGTCGACGCATTAATGATTCATGCAGGCTTAGAATTGAAATGTGTGTTTGAAAGTGCAGGAGGATATTTTGAACAGCACATATAACAATTAAATAAATAGCAAATAAAATTTTCATGTGTAATTATCCCAATGGTGCACGACTTTTGGCTCACACCAGATATATATATATATATATATATATCTAAATGGAATAATAATAAAAAAAAAAACGAAAGAATATTAATCTACAACCCAGTGTGTCTAAAGATTTTAATTTTTTTATTTTGTTATTGTTCAAAATATATATATATATATACACACGTGTGTATCTATATAAATATATTTGTATAATAATATATTCTCTGTTCACACGTTATTTTTATAGATACAGTTAGTTAAGTAACTGCTCTGTTAATAATAAACAGTGTTAGTTACAATTGCCGGTCTAAATGTCCGAGAAATTTCGTAGAAAATATGAGTCCTCCTACAGCAATCGATCCTGTATCCTAAACGGAAACGTCATTTGGCCTGAGGGGCTATACTATTTAGCTACAGAGGAAGCGTCTGGTTAGCAACTTCAAATTACTGTTTTTAAACAACAAATTCCCCACGATTTTTTTTCGAACGAACATATCTGTTCGAAGCGTAGATTAACGTAAACAAATGACAACATATATTATGAAATAGACTGGGACTACTTGAGGCGGTGTAATAGTTAGCAAACTTGTCTCGCTAGAACAATTATGAGTGAGTTCGATCCTCACTGGCTACCCCATAATTTCGGCCTAGTGCCACATCTAAGCCACGCTTAGTAAATCACTATATTATAAAATGGACAATTTTTTAATATATATTCTTTTTATCTTTATTTTAAATTAATTAGTACTGTTTAATATAAACAGATTATTTACTTAATTGTATCTATAAAAATAACGTATAAACAGAAAATATATCAAAATAATTAATTGTGGGACTTAGTCCATTTCATAATATATATGATATATATATATATATATATTTATATATATACTTTAAAAATCAGGAGACCAGTTGAATCCGCTCCCTTTGTTTCAACATTTACGGTATCCTCAGAAGACTTTTTATTAAATGACCTTTTAACGCTTTATTTTATTTAAAAACTAAAGAACGCTATATTATTTACCCCCCCCCCCCCTAAAAAAAAAACCCCACAACGTTGGGTGTAAGAAAGGGAAAAATTGTATCTGTCTATATTATCTCAGATAAGGCATTATGATTATTTACATTATTTACATTATTCGGGCTGTTATCCTCATCTTCATTGCCATATTCACAACGTTTCGGCCGTTGTACACTCCGACCTTCTTTATTCGATTCGAACCCTTCATTTCGTCCACCGTGTTCGAATGTTTTAGTTCCACGTGCCATGCCTCCTCAAATGTAAATATAAAAAAATGTACATTTCAATTAACGCCCCACCGATACTTTTATAATACCCTTTCTTTTCTTCTCTTCCCCCTTCTTTTTTTCTTTCTTCTTCACATTCTCTTCTTCCCTTTCTTACACAACAACATTGTGCATTTTGTTTATTTATTTAAAAAAATAATATAGCTTAGCTTAATTTTAAAAAAAAATAAAGCGTTAAGAGGTCATTTGATAAAAATCGCCTGAGGATACCGTAAGGTTGAAACCAAGGTAGCGGGTTCAACTAATTTTTAAAGTTAAAACCTCTACATGTTATTTTCACCTTTATTTCATTTTTTTCATACGTGTATCGTGCACTTTTTAACACTACTATTTCCTGGTGTGATTCAACTCCGACCAGTAACCTTTTATCTATTATATATATATATATATATATATATATATATATATATATATATATATATATGCATATATATATATGTATGTTTATATATATATATATATATATATATATATATATATATATATATATATATATATATATGTTTGTTTGACGATCGCAAAAGCGTGTAACCCAGGGTCACAAACTCACATCATGCCAACCAAATATGTTAGCTCTATCTCTGATATTGAGCGCTTTCTAATAAGTACCGCATATAATATATAGATAATTTATATATATATATTTATATACACACTTTTCACATATATGTGTATATATATATATACATATACATATATATATATATATATATATATATATATATATATATATATATATATATATGTATGCGTATATATATATGTGTGTGTGTCTGTATGTTTCTGTATACATATACATATATGTATATAATGTATATACTTTTATATTGTTCTTTATTTTATTTTATATTTACTTATTCATTTTATTTTTATTTCATTTTTTAACTTAAATAATAAAATTCAAATTTAATCTATACACATATGATCCGAACTCTTTCGACTTGAAGGTACGCTGAAAATCAATGGGATTTTTATCAGTCATTTCCGAATCTCTCTGTTTTATGATAACTCACATTACATTTTTTCCAAGCGCTTCAAATTTTTACGGGGAACAATGGTATTTTATTGAAAGATCTTTAAATGTCGTTGTTGATGCGAATACTCTGGCTGTTTGTCTAATATCTATGGATATTATTCTTGGATTTGATATTAATAACAAAACCATTTCCATAATATTCAGCTGTCCGTTTCCAAATCTATTACCACTTCATATGAAGTTCTTCCATTTTTTTCCCTTGCAGACAGCATACATCAATGATCATTTTTGCTTTTCTTGATTTCACGAGTCCTCGAACATTAAATCTCCCGATAGTAACACTTTATATGTAAATAGAGATATTTACGAAGAAGTTGCTTACTGTTAACGGTTTAAAATACAATATTTATTTAGATATTTAGACGTATTTAAAAAGGCAGTCACATCGATTAAAACTTGTAAGCCAATGTCCAGTAGCTTCTATAACCCGGTATGGTGACCTTCGCTTGGCTGTTCCCGCCATAGCTTACTTCCGGTGATTTGTGCTCCGAACATGCAGCATGAGGTAAACGGCTGACATCTATCGAAACTACTATGTTGCATTTATTCTTATTTAGAGGAGAGGGCGTTGGCCATTGCACATATTTTAAAAAGAGTTACCAGGCAAGAAATGATTAAGAAAAATTGTTGTAAATATTAGATGACCAGATAGCATAATTTGGAATATAACACCCGAAAGACATATTTTAGTTAAAAAGTTATTGAATATGGTTTTTCTGCTATCGATCCAGTGACGAGCAGAGGTTTGGTGTTGCCTGGGACCAACTGAACATTTTATTCAAATTAAATTTTTTATTCCTCTCTTTGATTGGATGTCCTCCCAATATGGATGCCCGCGGCCGCCGCCTCACCTTTTGCCCGGTACCGTATCGATCGATCAACTGACAGTTCTTTTCTGTTATTCTAAGTATAGAATTTTGATTAACTCATCAATTACTTTTCGCTTAGAAATCTATCTATCTATCTATCTATCTATCTATCTATCTATCTATCTATCTATCTAGCGCCGGGACGTATAAGTACCCAGGTTGGTGTCTGGCGGCGCGAATAAACCACTGGGAGAGATGCCCTCCTCAGTCTTTGATAAGACAGGCATCTAGGAGAAGGACACTCTGATGAAAAACCTGAGGTCTGCTGTTCGTGGTGTCCGTAGCAAACTTTTTCCACGACGTCATGTTATCAGCAGTTCCAAGAAGTGTGGATGGTGCTACACAAGCCTTCACCACTATAATCAAAGCATGTGTGGGTTTCTGACAACTTAATTCACCTTGCCGGAACCTCATACGTCGAAACCGACAGGAGAGTCCATTATATATATATATATATATATATATATATATATATATATATATATATATATATATATATATATTACGAATGTCTATATAAACTTTAAGCGGTGCCATGTAGTAATTAGGATCAGCACGCCAATTTCTTTTAATACATTTAAATCAATACCCAAATGATTTACTGTAGCTTAGATGTGGCACAAGGCCGGATGTTTGTAGCATCCTGTAAGGATCGAGCTCACTACTCAATCGTAATTGATCTAGCAAGAAAAGTTTGTTAACCATTACGCCACGTCGAGAGACTCTAGTGATGTATGATATGAATAGAGAAGAAAGGATTAAGAAGATTATGAGGATAAGGAGGAAAGACAGAAATTGTTTATTGATTTGAATGGATCAAGAATGAAGTATTCAGGGAAGTACCCTTGCGGGAGTCCGTGTTATCGTGTCAGTTCTTTGGGGAAAAAAACTGCCTGAGTTTCATTTTTTCCTTACACTTGGAATACAGGCGAAATGAGGGTGATTTGACTCCGTGGAAGTGGCATGTAACTTTCTATCTGCAAAGGTGAGAACTAGTGGAACTGAAGAATGGGGCTTAGTTGAACGCTTACCGCGAAAGTAGCGATAGAATAACAATAGAACTGCAACATTGCGTCAGTGAGGGAAGAAGCTACAGAGGAGGGGTTGGAGGAATAAGTCTTCTCTAAAAAAAAAAGACCGTGCAAGCGATTTTGATCGAGGCGGGAAAGTGAGGTTTGAGCAGTTCCTGCCCAGATGTGGCTACAATACTCCGTTTTTTTTTTTTTTTGTAATCTCTCGTAAAGATAAAGCATGGCTGAAGGAAAGAGATACTTCCTGTAGCGATAAAATAAGCCGACGATTTTTTCCAGCATCTTTAACAATTTCTTGTTTATATGAGTTCCACTTGAAACCTGTAGTGAACTTGAGACGCAATAGATGCTCAAAATTAGCTCCCATTGGAACTTTTCTACCCTATTAGAGAAAACTCATTGTAGTTGCTTGTTTTTGTTTAGCGACACATCAACATTTCTATGGGTTATGTAATGCCGAAATATAAATATTTTGTACGCAATTTTTTTTCATTTTTTTTTTTAGAGATAATGGTTTAGTCATTAGTCTCATTAATTAACCCATAGTTAGGGGAAAGAGGTGGATCCATACCTTTCCCAAGAGTATTTGCTTGTAAGTGAATATAACGAACCCAACGGGAATTTGAACTCGGCTATCCGATTAAAAATTCCGAGCCATTACCCATTACACCACCTGCATATCCAAACTTACAGCAACTAGTATTCCCAATCAGTCACCCATTTAAGTACTGATCAGGCTCGACGTTGCTTAATTTTAGTAATCGTACGGGAACTGGTGTTTTAACATGATGTGGCTGTAAGCGATTGTATGAACGGTGATGATAAAATGATACTAACCTGGCTTTGATGCATTGAAAATAATAAGCCAGTTATTTCCCCATTGAGCTGTTTGAGCTAGATCATGGGAGAGATCAGCTGCAAGAATATGATTATCTTGTTTTTACGAATTGCGTCCCCCTCTCCCCCCAAAAAAAAACAGCGCTATCTTCTGCACCGATGCTTACTCATCCGAAAATATTCCTTCTGTTTAGGACGTCGATAATCATGGTTCTCCACAATTTCCTATCCTTTGTAGCTCTTAGTAAATTTAGTTTTTATGCTCTTCTAAACCCTGTTCCTCCCACCATCTATGCAAACTCATTATGGGATTACGGTCATATCACGTTGAAAACACCAATTCTCGCCCGGTCACCGAAGTTAAGCAACGTCGAACCTGGTCAGTACCTAGATAAGTGACCAGTATTGGAAATACCAGGTGCTGTAAGCTTGGATGTGCGTGTAAGGGATAATAGCTAGAAATTGGAAATCGGAGTTCCGAGTTCTAATTTACTTGTGCGAAAATATTCTTAGGAAAGATATGAATCCACTTCTTCCCTTAGATATAGGTTAAATAGTAGGTCTTGTATCAGTAAATCGGTATTATCTCCAGAAAATTTTAAAATCCGACCCAATTTTTTTCTGGCTATAAATAACCTGCTAAAGGTTGATAAGTCGTAAAATAAATACAAATCAATCAATCAAACAAAAAAGCTCGCTGCTTTCTTCTGTCTCTCTTTTCTTCAGTATAGCCTGTGAGTGTCAAATTTTCCAAACCCTCTTTCCTCATTATGTACTCTACAACTTTTAACTGTCTCTTTCCGATTTACTTTCCATTTTCTCTAAAACTTCGTCGATACTCACATGGTATTCTCAATATCTAGAACCACATTTCTGCGGCTTCAAGTCTTTTATACATCTGTTAATGAATGTCCAGCATTCATTGCCATATAAGAGGATCGGCATTACACAGCAGTTCTTAGGAAGCTGAAGTTAACACATTTCATGAATGACCTGAATTCCACTTTAAAGAAAGACATATGAAGACATTAACACCAACATTTTAGTAAAATTAAAAAAAAAATGTTAATTCAACGGGTCAACCAAAAATGATTCATCCTACCTGATCTTGGTTCTACCGGGGGATAGGTAGATGGCACCACTTCCTTCGGCACAGTCTCTTCTTTAACGAAGAAACAACAGGTCAAACGTAATAGAAAATGGAAACGGTAAAAATTAGGAATCGAACGTCAGGAATTCACAGAAAAAAATATTTGTTGGACTCAACAAAGATAAAACAATGAACAAATTACTAGAACACTGATCAAAGATGATGTCTTTAAGACAAACTTATTTCCCATACTTATGAATATAGTTCGATGAAATAATACAGTCAACAACAGCACAGTCTCCAACAAATCCGTTCATCAGATAGTTTCGGAGCTAAAATATCATTACCAAGGGTACTCTATCAATACCACACGATAATATTAGACTTTCTTGGTTTGGGGTTTAGTGTGTATCAGATATATATAAGCACAGCTTCTGTTTGATTTTCCAACGATATTTTCTTCAAGTACGAATTGGGTTCTCTAAGCCACTGGCATATTTTGTATAGAAAAAAAAAGTTAAAATTTCTCTTTCTCTCTGCCGTGCGACGATAGCCTAAGATCTCTGAATGATGTTAAATCGGTCATGTTTTGATCTCGGCTTGAAGCAATCGGACGTCTAGCCACACTGAAGAGCTGTGATGCAGCGAAACAGTCTGTGAATGACAATATATATGCTCCCGAGAAATTCGGTTGAGCTCTCTCTCGAGAGATGGGGTTTTAAAAACAGCGGTTCCTAATGCTATTAATGCGTTACTCTTCAAGTACGAATTGTTTTCTCCGGGCCACTGGCGTATTTCGTATATATATATAAAAAGTTTCTCTCTGCCATGCGACGAGAGCCTAGGGCTAGGATCTCGGCTTGAAGCAGTCGGGCGTCTAGTCACACTGAAAAGCTGTGATACAGCGAAATATCTGTGGATAACCAATCTGTGGATGATATATATATATATATATATATATATATATATATAAATAAAAAAGAGCAGTAAGATATATAATCCGGTGTTCTTATACATATTTTTATTTTTACAAAATAGTGCTCTATGTAAATTTACAGAGCATTAATATTATAAATTAACTGATTTAAAATATGATTTTTTTTCGCTACACAGTTCTAACCATGTTTCAAAAATGAAAGCTAAAAGCTTCGAATTTAATTTTGTAATTAAATTAAAGACATTAGTTCCATCGCTTGAGGACGAAATGGAAATAATGTCATTAATTTAATTACAAAATTAAATTCGAAGCTTTTTTAATTTTCCATTTTGAAACACGGTTAGAAATGTCAAAAAAAACATTTTAAATCAGTTAAATTTATATATATATATATATATATATATATATATATATATATATATATATATATCCTGAAAGGTTCTATGAACATGGGTTGCAAATCTGATTTTTGCAAATTTAAAATCTGACACCCGCAAATTTATCAATATTTTAATAAAGATATTATAATCTGAAACTCTTATGATGCATTACTTATCTAAATATATGTATTTGCTGAAAATTTTAACAACGTTGATTGGTTGATACAATTTGATTGTGTAAACATGAACTTGCATAATAAAATCTGACATCGTTTACAGATCCCAGTTTTCGATGTGAACTAATGACGTATAAAGTTCGATATTATGGCAATATAATGTCAAGCAAGATCTTTTAATATAAATTCGTTTTCTTTAATCATCTGTCTATTGTAGATGCCCCAAGTTTTACAATACGGCGATTGATATATAATTGAAAAAAAAGATACTAGTATTTTTGTGTTTGGCGTGATACTGCAATAATATCTAAAACCCGTTTTCCATTATTTAATTTCTTGTCATTATGATGGCAGTTTTGTGACAATGATTTTCATATTATTGCTTATATAATGCAAGTAAGATGAAGAGAAGAATAGCCAACGGAAGGCCTACCTGAATCGTCGCTATAATTACTGTGGCAGTCGATTTGCAGTGGACGTAATTGTGGTTGGTATCTTTCTGATAATGATTGGAAAACGCAAGGTTAGACATGCAATTAAAAAAAACAAACAAACTAACAAAAACCTCTTTATTCCATAACCGCTCCTTAAAAATTAGAAAATAATGAAAGACAAAAATAAAACATTTACACAAAAACAAAAGTGTTCTACAAACTGTAGACTCTAAATTTGAGTGAGTTACATTTTTGTAACATTTACAACATTTTGACAAGAGATATTTTGGTGCGTACAGTTTTAATAGTATTTAAATAAGTAGTTGTTTATTTAATTACCGCAAGTAAAGGTAAAATTATGTTTATATAATTCTGTGTGCGGAAGCGTGTATGTATGTAAAAATACATGTTGGTACATGCATATATGTATATATAAAGAATACTGAAATAGTAAATATCAGAACATGTTAAAAAAAAACCCAAATTGATGGACGACACACTCAAAAAAAAAAAAAAAAAAAAAAAAATCAGCGGCATTGAACAGAGAAACGGAGAACGCAGAAAAGATGAATCCAATTCTCATTGGCTAAAAACAAAATAATCAAACCAATCAAAAGCTCAATGTAACGTTCGGAAATTCATTACAATGGACTGAGGCACATCGATGTGGTTTTAACAAGCTCGTCTCGCTAGATCAATTACGACTGAATAATGAGTTTGATCCACACTGGGTGCCACATCTATGCTATGCTTAAAAAAATCATTTTTGGGCACTTCGATGTGGGGTAATGTTTAGGAGGATTGCTTCGCTAGAACAGATGCTACTGAGTAGTGAGTTCGTTCCTAACCGTGTGCCCCACTTTTGTGGACTTGTGCTACATCTAAGCTACACTTAGAAAATCACCATCACGGTGGACCGGTGCTCTTGGACGTGGTGTAATGGTTAGCAAGCTTGTCTCGTTACACCAGTTACGACTGAATAGTGAGTTCAATCCTCATTAGATGCTCCCATACTTTCGGCCTTGTGACGAAAATCATTATTTGGCACTTCGACGTGATATAATGGTTAGCAAGCTTGTCTTGCTAGACCAATTACGATTGAATAGTGAGTTCGATCATCACTAGGTGCCTCATACTTTCGGCCTGGTGCCACATCTAATCCACGCTTGGAAACTAACCACTGCTGTGGACTGAACGCTGGCTGGAAGGTAATCGCTTCTCGATGAGTCACCTGAGTCTGAGGTTTTTAGAGATCCGAAACCTACAATTACAACAGGAAAACATCGCGGATGAAGCTTCCTGGTGCATCGCAAGTGTGTTTTGATTGTGATTTAGCAAATGAGTAAGGCAATGTTTTATCGGCAAGAAAAATTCATCTGTAATGTTATGCAAATGGTAGTACATATCTGGACTGCGTTGCTGACACCATATTCTTTTCATGGAAGATGATACTCGGATAGGCTCCTTTTGGCGGACCGGGTTCACTAGAGAAAGAATACGAAACTAAATTTTCGTCTGTATAATATTCACTGAAAATTAACGCCGTCCGTGAAGGGAGGTGGTTTTCTATTTATCAAACTTTTTTTTACCTCCGTTTTTGGATATAACTTTCAAGAACCAGTCAGTTAAGTTCCATACATGATACTGGCTTGGGCGTTCATGTCTCTTTCGATTCATGACTAAGTAGATTGCCTTTTCTTTCTGCGGTAGACTGGTTGCCAACCAAGGCTATATGAACCAGTCTGTACTGCTATTCAAAACATAGCTGATGTGTGGGTAGAGAGATGGATTCATACCTTTCCCAAGGGTATCTACGCGTAAGTGAATGTAAGGAACTCGACTGGAACTCGAACACGACCCTCCGATTTCTTATTCCGGGCTGATATCCATTACATCTCAACGTACAAGAATAAGAAAGGTGAATCCAGAATCTGACATTCTGAATCCAGGATCTGACTTTTTGAATCTAGGATCTGACTTTCTGAATCAAAGATCTGTCTTTCTGAATCTAGGATCTGACTTTCTGAATCAAAGATCTGGCTTTCTGAATCTAGGATCTGACTTTCTGAATTGTCCGAATAATAGGGATACTTCTCAAATTTAGAGCCCATACATAGCACCATGCGTATGGGAACCTTCACGTAGTGTATTGATTAGCAAGGTTGTCTTTCTAAATCAGTTACGGCCGAGTAGTGAGTTCGACCCGCACTGGGTATTCCACACATTCGGCTTTGTGCCAGATCTAAGCTACGCTTAGGAAATCATTCGGCCAATTCAACATGATTTAATGGTTAACAATCTTGTCTCGCTAGACCAATTACGACTGAACAGTGAGTTCGATCCTCACTGGGTGCACCAAATTTTTAGCCTTCTGCCACAGTTGGAAAATCATTTGGATATTTCAACATGGTGTAATGGTCAGCAAGGTTGTCTCGCTAGATCAATTACGACTTAGTGAGTTTGATATCCATTGGATGCTCAACACTTTCGGCCTTGTGCCACATCGAAGTTACGCTTAAGAAAACATTTGGCCACTTCGACACGGTGTAATGGTTAGCAAGCCATTCTCGCTAGCTCAATTACGACTAGGTAGTGAGTTCGATCGTCACTGGGTGCCCCCAAATTTTGGCCTTGTGCTTTATCTAAACTACGCTTAGAAGGTATTTGGTAACGTCGAATAGAGAGGGACACGGCGAGAAATAGAGAGGGAAATAGCAAGGAAGAGGAAGAAGGATGTAGAGAGATCCAGAGATAGAGAGGGAAAAAGCAAGGCAGGGAGAGAGAGAGAGAGAGAGAGAGAGAGAGAGATGGTGATAGCAAGGGAGAGAAAGAAGGATAATGGTCACGAAAAGAGATGGACAGGAAGACAGCAAGGGAGAAAAATAAAGATAGGGTGAGGCAGATAGCAAAAGATAGAAAAAAGAACAGATAGGTACGCGGAGAGAGATAGAGAGGGAGATAGCAAGGGAGAGAGAGAAGGATAGAGAGGGACACGAAGAGAGATAGAAAGGGAGATAGCAAGGGAGAGAGAGAAGGATAGAGAGGGACACGAAGAGAGATAGAGAGGGAGATAGCAAGGGAGAGAGAGAAGGATAGAGAGGGACACGAAGAGAGATAGAGAGGGAGATAGCAAGGGAGAGAGAGAAGGATAGAGAGGTACACGAAGAGAGATAGAGAGGGGAGATAGCAAGGGGAGAGAGAGAAGGGGAAGACAGAAAAGGAGACTAGAGAGAGAGAGGGGAAGAGAGATTAGAGAGATAAGGGAAGAGAGAGAAGGATAGAGAGGGACATTGAAGAGAGATAGAAAGGGGAGATAGCAAGGAAGAGAGAGAAGGATAGAGAGGGACACGAAGAGATAGAGAGGGTGATAGCAAGGAAGAGAGAGAAGGATAGAGAGGGAAACGAAGAGAGATAGAGAGGGGAGATAGCAAGGGAGAGAGAGAAGGAGAGAGGGACACGAAGAGAGAGATAGAAAGGGAGATAGCAAGGAGAGAGAGAAGGATGAGAGGGACACGAAGAGAGATAGAGAGGGGAGATAGCAAGGGAGAGAGAAGGATAGAGAGGGACACGAAGAGAGACAGAGAGGGAGTCCAGCAAGGAAGAGAGAGAAGGATAGAGAGGGACACGAAAGAGAGAGAGAGGAGATAGCAAGGAAGAGAGAGAAGGATGAGAGGGACACGAAAGATAGAGAGGGAGATTAAAAGGGAAGAGAGAGAAGGATAGAGAAACTTTTGAAGAGAGATAGAGAGAGATGCTAAGCAAGGAAGAGAGAGAAGGATAGAGAGGGACACGAAGAGATAGAGAGGGAGATAGCAAGGAAGAGAGAGAAGGATAGAGAGGGACACGAAGAGCGATAGAGAGGGAGATAGCAAAGGAGAGACGCTGATAGAGATAACAAGAGATAGACAAAAAGGATAGAGAGGATCACGGTGAGAGATGGAGAGGGAGACAGCAAGGGAGAAAAATAAGGATAGGCGTGGACACGGGGAGGGAGATATCATGGGGGAGAAAGAAGAATAGAGAGAGAACCAGAGAGAGAGGGAAATAGCAAAGGAGAGAAAGGGGGATAGACAGGGACACGAAGAGAGAGAGAGAGAGAAAGAGAAGAGAGAGAGAGAGAGAGAGAGAGAGAGAGAGAGAGAGAGATGGTGGTAGCAAGGGATAATGATCACGAAAAGAGATGGACAGGGAGACAGCAAGGGAGAAAAATAAAGATAGGGTGACGGAGAGGCAGATAGCAAGGGAAAGAAAGAAGGTTAGAGAGGGACTTCAAAAAAGATAGTAAAGGATAGAAAGAACAACAGATAGGTACACGGAGAGAGATAGAGAGGGTGATAGCAAGGAAAAGATAGAGAGGGACACGAAGAGAGATAGAGAGGGAGATATCTAGGGAGAGATAGAAGGATAGAGAAGAACACGGCCAGCGATAGCAAGCGAGAGAAAGAAAGATAGAGAGGAACACGAAGGGAGAAAGAGAGATAAATAGCAAGGAGAGAAAGAAGGATAGAGAGGGACACGGATAGAGATAGAGTGGGAGACAGCAAAGGTGAGAAAGAACGATAGATAAGGACACGGAGAGAGCTAGAGAGGGAGACGACAAGGGGTAGATAGAAGGATAGAGAGTATCATGTTGAGAGATTGGGAGGGACATAACAATGAAGAGAAAATTAGGGATAGAGAGAGAGAGAGAGAGAGAGAGAGAGAGAGAGAGAAATACTGAAAATTGTGGAGAGAATGGAAATTTGAGAGACAGAGAAATAAAAAGCGTGAGGCAAGTTGAGAAGAGGTAGAAAATTTTTCCGGCGCGCCAAAAACAAAGATGGCTACAAAAGACTGCATAACATCCCAATGAAAAATTTCTCAGAGTCAACCTGGAGAAAAAGACAATATGTATCAAGGTAAAAGACAATAGGAAAACTGTATTATTAGCCGATGCGTTTCATCCAATGTGGGCTTTTCAAGGCAAAAACTAAATGAATTTATTGAAAACAAACTAACTATTAACAACAAACAAAATGTCCTTAGCAACTAAAAGAATTTAGAAAACGCTGTTGTATTCATCTTGTCAACGGAAAAGTACTATCAGGTGTAGAATTATTGTTTTTATTGTTGTGTTGACGGATTCAACCCTTTTCTTTGATTTCTTGATATAGTTGTTGCGCATGTTGGCTTGTGAGAATAGTAATTCTTTTAGGAAAGGTGATGTTGGGAAATAACCTGGACGTAGATTAATATTTGGATAATATTAAATGGCGGCACTCTCGATGAATTTCCTTCTGAGTGAGCGATTTTCTCTTTTTATGAGTTTAGCATTTTTAAAATCAAAATTGTGGTTGAATTTAACTTATGCACTAGTCATACATAGAAATAAATTCAGTTTTAGTTGCTAAGGTCATTTTTTTTGTTAATAGTTACTTTGTTTTCAATAAATTCATTTTGTTTTTGCCTTGAAAAAGCCTACATTGAACGAAACGCGTCGGCCAATAATACAGTTTTCCTATTGTCTTTTACATTTATACATAACATCCTAATTACAAAAATGATCGATTCTTACCTCGAAGTATCAATTTAATTATTCTACATAGCGAGAAAGAGATAATGAGTGAGAGATTGAAAGAGGGTGAGGTGAGAAAGATAAAGCATAAGAAAGAGGGAGAGAACGAGAAAGAGAGAGAGAGAGAGAGAGAGAGAGTGATGGAAGAAAGACTTAGGGAAAAATATAGTGAGAGACAGAAAATAAATTCTTAATTTCAACGGGACTTTCTCCGTTTCCTCGACGAAATTTATTCTGGGTTTTCACCTTTCACTAAGCAGGGACAATCATTATCTGCTTATAAAGTCCCATACTAGGGATGATGTCATTCAGAATTGGCTGATAAACCTAATTCAAGTGATGACTAATGTCGCACTAAAAATTATAATTAAAAACGCGGAAGAGTGTTGTTATTAGAGAAACACATCCTTGAAACCTAATTCGCCGTATGATTAATTATCGTCTGCTTTATCCCGTATCCAAAGATGTAATTTTTTTCTTTGCTGATAGCTTCCTTTATGCTGATGGGGTTGATAACTAGATTTACCGCCAACGTGCAGGTTCAGGATTAGAAGCTTCCAGTTTCATCAAAATATGCTCCCATCCTTCATTCTCTTTCATCATTTGGCTTTACTAGGGTTGATTTGGTTTGATTTGTTTTACGGCATATCATCGTCAATGGGTTATTCAACGTCGACAAGATTTTTATTGCTGGTAATATTTTTTCCTAAACATATTTCTGGTAATATTTTTCCAAAAATGTATTGCTGTTAATATTTTTATTAAATGTATTGCTGCTAATATTTTTCCCCAAAAGTATTGCTGGTAATAACTTTTTACAAAAATGTATGGCTGGTATTAAAACATATTTTTACAGTTTTATAGTGTTTGGCTCAGTTTGGGGTTAACTAATTACCCATAGCTGGGACCCTGCTTCAAGCAATTAAGAGGTGGTTCCACACTTCTCAAAACGTCCTTATCAGAGGTCTTCCTGTTGGATGTAGTCTATCTTCTTACCCAGGACGCGGATGTAGTTTATCGTCATACCCAGGACGCGGATGTAGTTTATCGTCTTACATAGGACGCGAATATAGTTTATCGTCATACCCAGGATGGGCAAGCGTTGATTGGAGGTGAAAGAAAATTAGAATAGAAGAAAGTACCGAAGGCGTGAGTTTGTTTAAGGTGGACCACCAGTAAGGTGGACTTGCCAGTAAGGTGGACCACCAGTAAGGTGGACTTGCCAGTAAGGTGGACCACCATTAAGGTGGACCACCATTAAGGTGGACTTGCCAGTAAGGTGGACCACCAGTAAGGTGGACCACCAGTAAGGTGGACTTGCCAGTAAGTGACAGACACTTTTCATGTTATGACTTTCTGCGGCACATATGGAATGAGACATGACAAGTTCAGTTATGAAACTGCAACGAACTGCCGCTGACTCTGTTATAAATTCCAGTGACGCCTTCTGTAGCATGTCCGTCATTTTTAGCCCTCTTCATCCGCGGGTTCAAGCGTCAAGATCTGTTGTAATCGTTATCCGCTTGTTTCACCGTTGGGGTTTTTGGGGGTTAGTCTGGGTTCTCGTCTTCGACCTTACCTACCAGGAGTTTATAACTCCCGATGGCATCGCTTTCAAAGTCGTTGGACCACGCAGCCGACTCTACCACGACAAGGAGCGACCATCAGAGGTACGCATATAGAAACATATTCGCAAAAACACACATGTCTACTTTACACTGGATGTCGAAGTAAACATAATTTTATAAAGGTAATAATAAACGTGTCCGGGTCGAAGCTAGCAGCAAACTCGGGTGTATGGAGGTTTGGGCTACAGAATGTCAAATATCATTCAAACAGTTTTCTGGATGATCCGATACACGATTAAAAGAACAACTTATCGTGTCTCGATATTAAATCTGATCAATTTGGCAGTTGAGATAATTAAATGATTGATTTAGGTGGACTGGTCATGTTGTGAGAATGGATGAGCATAGGCTTCCAAAGAACGTGCTGTATGGACAACTACCAAACTCCAAGCGTTCAGTTGGATGCCCACTCTTACTCTACAAAAATGAATTGAAAAACAACTCGAAACGTCTCAACTTTGATCTAAAAACCTGGGAAGCCCAAACATCAAACCGAAAGGAGTGGCGTAATACATGTTTCATTAAGTTAAAGAGTTTTGAAGACAGAAGCATCGTGATCGGCTCCGTAAAACTCTGAAGCAGAGACGCCATCAAAAACCTGCTTTAACAAATTTCATCTGTCAGTGTGGCTTTGTCGCCCGCAGCAAGGCTGGGCTCGTATCACACTTAAGAAAGCATAAATGAAATATGTATTTCCCTTAACTGATTTTCTCCACAATAGCCCCTGATAGCATGCAAAAAAAGCAACATCCAATGCTGACGCTCATTTATCGTTCACTATAGGAGAATCCACCATTTTGTTGGGGCAAAGAATGTCTTGATAATTTTAGCGTCTCCAAAACGAAACTGTATTAATCAACTGAAAGACCCATTCCTATCAATATGGCTGATACTAACTACCCCGAGAGTGATTCGTCACGCCTTCTCAGGCTAACATGGAATGGGAAGATTACATTGAGTCCATTGCTAGGTCAGCTACTAAGAAGATTGGTTCACTGTGTCTTGCCAGACAATTTTCTACCCTGAATCTCTCTCCTTTTTTTAAGCATTTTTACCCCAAGCAAGTCGGGAGTGCCACTAGCAAGGGGTTACAGAGATTGGAAGCAAGAGTAAAGAGGCGTGACAGAGGAAAGGATGAAGAGAAGGACGGGGTACAGATCAAGGCTTCTGGAGATGTCGATTGATATTGCATTTGAATAGTTGAAGATTATAGCTATCAGAGAAGCAAGTAAAAGGAAGTGAGTTCCACAGAGAGGAAGTGCTGTTGGAGTACAAGAGACTGCTACATTTAACCGTTTTGACAGTGAAAGGGTGGGACCGAATGCCAACCGAATGCACGTTTAAATTCATGCAGTTTGGGAACCAAGGAAAGTAGCTCGTCGGAGCAGGTACCATGAAAGTATTTGTAAAAAAGACAGATTTTAAGTTTACCATACGTTTCATTCTTTGAATAGTGCTCTCACGTGTGGTCTGGTGCTCCTACTGTATACCTAGATATTCTTGATAAAATGCATAGAATAATCAGCAATATTATTTGTCCTGAACAGGCATCTCGGCTTCAGTCACTTTCACACCGCCGTAATGTTGCTTCCCCCTGTGCCTTTTTCTATAAATATTTTCATGGTAATTGTTCTGATGAACTTTTCGTTGTATCACATAGACTTTATGAATTTAAGCGCAGTACTAGGTTGGCGGCTAGGTTTCATCAATTTACTGTTTGAAATGGCTAGATCTAATATAAATTCTATGCTAACAGTTTCTTTTCTCGCTTGTGGAACTCTCTCCCGGTTCTACGCTTTCCAACCAACATTGGTCTTCAAAATGTAAATGCAATGTCAATCGTTATTTTTGTGATGTCAACTAACACTCGTTGTCACTTTAGTGATGGCAACGAATACTCGTTGTCACTTTCGTAAAGCTCGTTGTAGTAGAGACTTTGTAATCGCCGTTGAAAAATACTGGTGTCAGAGGCCTTCGAATATCACTCGCACTAATAGTACTTGCTCGATTATACTCGCTCGGATAGTAATCCGTACAGTGATCCGAATAGAGATCGCCTATGATTTCTCACTGGCGATCTATGTTCAAACTCAGGTGTCGGCTGCGACACTTTATTCCAATATAATAGTTATATACTGTCTTCCTGATAATATTTAACATTTAATATATAAAGTTCTATATTGTGTTAACAGGACTCGCTTGGTTTATACCAAAGGTTATTACTAGTATATATATATATATATATATATATATATATATATATATTATATATATATATATATAACTAGCAGCATGGCATGGCGTTACCTGTGCTTGATTCAAAAATCGTATGACTCATACAGCAATCGCTATCACTTGACTTAAAATATTTTTTGCCCTTCCTTGCTTTAAAGGAGTGCCTTTGCCGTGCTGATGTTGCTACATGCCTTATTTCTTGCCTATCTCACACTGCGAATTTTTTCTAAGCTCTATACTAAACATTAAATCTGTTACGAAAAAAAGAACGAAACAAAATGAACACAAAACGATCAGCTTTAAAAAAGGACTCGTAACTGGAAAAACCGAATGAAAAAGAATGTTAACAACAAATACTTTTTTCACACCCAACCCAGTTCTGCGGAATCAGAATCAACGTTGAGTTTAAGCAAGCGAATGAGCCAATTGGAGTAAAAGTGCCATGCAGATTTAAATTTTTTCCACTTGTGACGAATGCAGCTATCGATTTTTTTTTTTGCATGCTAGCATGCTAGTTAACATTCGTGTCAGTCAGCTGTTGGCTCTCACGCTGGCCAATAGAATCTTCCTGCCTATTCGTGGCAGCCAGCTATAGGCTCTCACTCTGGCCAGTAGAAAATGGCTGAAACTACATGAAAACTGCCGTAGAAGCATGGAAAAAATCGATTATTTCCACTATCGATGGGTGTTGGGAAATGCAACGTCGGTCTTGGCCTTCCCACTAACTTGGAGCATGTGCATGTAAATTTTGGTGCAAATCCGTCGAAAATTGCGGCTGTGCATTCATTACACACACACACACACACACACACACACACACACACACACACTTTTACATTATCCTACCTTTTATAGATAAATATTAATGTGAGTAAATTTTGTCATTTAGCTGATTGATGTTATCTTCAACATCCTGACTCCAGTGTTTCTGACGGTGCTGTCCGTTCAATGTTCAGAGGATATCATCAATATATATATATATATATATATATATATATATATATATATATATATATATATTGTCCGAATGATCTGTATGTCCGAATTCTTTCGGCTATCAATCAGTCGTTAAACTGCCCACATAGGTGATCATGTTCCTCCACAAATTTGTTTTCCTTATTATCTTTGAATTCCTATGATTTCTTGTTAATGATAGCGGAGTAGTTCCCCGTTGCCTTCTCTACGAGTCTGAATTCAGCATAGTCCTCCTTTTATAACTGAATAATTTGGTCTACCCTGTTATTTAATCCATAGCTGAGAGAAGAAGACCCATGCCTTTTCCAAGGACATTGGTGTAAAAGTAAATGCGGCAGATGACGCTGGAATTTGAACACGGTTTGCTGATTTCATTTCTACGCCGATAACCGTTACGCCACAATAATTGGAAACAGTTTTTTAACAAGATATGTTGGAACGAAGTAATCCTGTTAGATTAGTTTAAAAAATGCGAGAAAAACGAAACCTTTAATAATGTCATGGAACTACTTTAACTTTATTTTTTTAAAAATTAATTCACCCCACCCCCAAGCAAGGTGATAATGTCACTAACACATATGTGGTTACGGGAAGGAAAATACATTAGAAATTTGTTCGCACTTTAAACAGGAAAAAAAAAGGATGAAACTCTTTTCTTGTTCAAAAAGACCAGGGAGGAAATGAACGGGACGACAAAAAAAAATTGAATAATCCTATTAGGGAAAATGTTTTAGTGAATTTTATTTTTTAAAACTGGAGACGTTAGCAGTTAGGGTTTTAATTCGACTTTAAAAAATTTAATGTTTAATCTTAAACTGAAACAAGCGATACACATCTAAATCCTGTTTAGGGAAGATTGTGAATGGGCGATATGTTAATAAATGTTCCTCTCGAATTTTGAACAGTTTTTAGAACTTTATTCCTTGTTTCCTGTTTCGGATTGTGTTTCCGGTTCCTTCTAAAATTTACTTCCACTCTCTATGTGACCTCATTAATGGAAAACTATTTATTTTTGATTGAAACAAAACTAGAGCATTTTATTTAATATTGAATGTTCAGTTCAGAGCGAACATAAAGTAAATCTACGATCCACAACAACAGTATTCTTTTGATAAAAGCTTGTTATCACCCTAAAAAATTGGTTATTATTGAAATTTAAAGCATTAATCTATAAAAAAAATTCTCGGTAATTCTATCTGAAAGTCGGTAACCGGAGAATAAATGCTCATAAAAAGAATTTTTTATTTCGCTTAAAAAATAAAAAGTGTATTATATGACGAAAGATGAACCCAGATCCTTCACAAATAAAAATGGGTGATTTACAAAACAAATGCGTGATTGAATGACAGTGTGAAACTCACCGTACATATCTTGGTAATAGGGGCGTGTTCTTTCGCTCCGGTAACCGCTGTCGTTTCTTCGATCCCGGAATGGTCGTTGTTCTGAAGAAATCAAACTTTATTGATACAAAAAATACCCAGTGGATTGATAACCAACCAACAACTCGCTTGACCAACCAGGTGTCTGACATGATAGATAGACATTATGCATGGTAATCTACTTAAAAAAAATAAATATAATAAATAAAATAGTTTGCTCAAATTTTTTTTTTGCTGAGATTCAAAAAAATAATGACGGTTCTGGGATGTCAAATCAAAATATGTTTGAAAATTCCGCATTCGCAAACGTTTATAAAATAAAATCATTTAAAAGTTCATTTGATATAATACAATATATAGCATATATATATATATATATATATATATATATATATATTTAAAAAAAGAACAGTAAGATATATAATCCGGTTTTCTTATAGATATTTTTATTTTTACAAAATAGTGTTCAATGTAAATTTACAAGCATTAAATTTATAAATTAATTGATTTAAAAAAATTAAACACAGAAACCATGTTTCAAAAAATGTTAGAACTGTGTATCAAAAAAAAAATTTTAAATAAATAATATATATATATCAATATATATATATATATATATATATATATATATATATATATATATATATATATATATATATATAATATTTCAATATATATACCCGAAACAAAAAACAATTCGTAAGAACGCTGTAAAAACTAAAATAAAAAAAATTAATTAAATTTTACTTTTCTTTGTTAACGAAAGATGTTTAAAAGAAAGTTTGCTGCTCAAATATACATTAATATATACAGGGTACGATGGTATTTTGTCGCCATTTTGTATTTCTAATTTCGCGCATTTTCAATTTTTTTATTTTGTCGACTTCATAGTATAGTAGGGTTTGCTGGGCACCGTCTGAGAGAAAAAGAGCATCATGACGCAATTCACTTCACCAGAAATTTGGAAACGGCATGCTGTACTGCTTGGCGTTCGCTCCGGAATCTCCAGTACAAACATTTCAGTGTTTTTGGGTGTCAATATGAATTGTTAGAGGATTCGAAAGAGTTAAATTTTTAAAATGGTGATTAAGAAGGTGTTTGGAGTGATCACTAATGATGGCGATGTTATGCAGTCATTCATCTTACCCCAGGGCCCCATAGACACAACATTTTTTTTAAATCAAGTATTATTTGAGAAAGGTAACTCCTTAAAATTTAAAAAAAGATGAAGGTAAAGATTATGGCAGCATTCACCAGAAAAGTTACAGGAGATTACGAAGTCGTATGGAGGCCGTGGTTGAAGTAAATGGAAATTTTTATTGATTTAAATTTTTTTCAGTATTTCAAGATGTTTTGAATGTAAATATATCTGTTGAAATGAGATGCCATGTTATTTTTATTTTTGTGGAATTTAGACGATAATTTATCCATCAATATTATATATATATATATATATATATATATATATATATATATATATATATAAAAAAAATTAAGTCATAAACCTATTATTGACAATAACGCTATAAAAAATATACTACCAAAATCAAATGCCCACAATTACAAAAATGTCGAAGCAGTAATAAAGAAAAAAACATCTTTCATAGATATCTGAAACCAGTTGATAAAATTAAATACATTAGATGTATTAATTACTAGAAAAAAAACAATAAAAATCTAGCGGCTTAGATAATTAGATATTAAAAATAATATATCACAAATTTCCAAACCCCTATATAAGACCAGCGTTGTGTATGAATATACTTTTGATAAGTTTTTTGAGTTTTCCATAATAAAAAAAAAAAAAACATCTTACATAGGATATATATACAACCACATTTTCATGGGATACTCACATGCAACATATCGGACCATAGTGTCATTAGACAACACATTAAGTATCATGTTTAGACAGCTATACTCTCAAATAATACCAAAATACTAGCAAAATCAAATAGTAAAAACAAACTTATGATCCTTGAAGCAATACTCGTACAACAAAAACAACTATCAATAAATAATTAAAAAAAACAATTATGACTTAAGAGCTCACATCCTCAAATGTATATAAAACACACACATACACACATGAAACCTCGTTACAGCACTATTTTTTCTATGTCACAGCACTCACTAGTTCTACGGAAGTCACTAAGTGTCTCTACATCCCCTGGCGAAAGCTTGGTCTATATTTCTTGTACTTTTCTTCCGAAATGAACTTGAGACAATCTTCTACGGAATTTCCTCCTTGTTCGAGAATGATTATTCCTAATTTGGAAAACTCGATCAATAAAATTAGACGACACAAATATGCTAATTATTTATTTTATTTAATTTCTTCGGACACTATATCCCCATTTTTTTTCTATATTCTTAAAACTTATCATTGAAAAAACGTTCTAACGTTCTTCAGGTAATTGGAATTTTGAACTGAACCCTTTATTCCGTCCATTCGAGTAGATTGTTCTGGCTACACGTGCCATGCCTCTTCCGAATGTCTCAGTTATCTCTCTTTAACTCAACACTCCAGGTTTTTGTTCACCACTGCAGTAGCCAGGTATTGAACTCAAATTGCGTCAAGTCACTGGATCCAACCAAAATTTATCCACTGTTTTGTGTCCTTGAAATACTAATCACCTGAAGAAGGCCGGAACGAACAACAACCGAAACGTGAATATGGCAAAATGATTCGGATAACAGTCCGAAGAATGTAAATAGTGTAAATATTTAGAATACCTTCTCTCAGAAATATAGATAAAAATGTCTATTGTTTTGAATAATATTTAGCTTAAAGAACATTTGCTACCTAAATACATAGAACATTTATATACATTCTGGAATTGAAAGTGAGTGTCAAGAAATATTTTTTAAAAAAATTTTTTCGATTGTCGTTCCCATTGTTAAATATTTGATGTTGATATTTTAGTTATTTTATATACAAAATATATTTATATATATATTGTTATTTAGACAGCAATCGCTTTTTTAGGAAAAATATTTTTTCATTAAAGACGACAGACAAGGTATTGCGATTTCTTTTTATTTAATTTTTCTTGTGTTCGAATAAATTTTTTTCTGACACAATTTTGTAGAAACTTTTCAAATGTTCTGTAATCCTGAGCTTTCTTTTTTTATAATTTTACCCATTATCAATAAATTTTTAATTCATTATATAAAAAGATAACAACACGTTTCCAAAATCTAAGCTACAAAGAACGAACATTATCTACGAGTTCAATTTTTTTAAAGAACTGTGTTTCTGATCAAACCGAATTCATAAACACACTACTACATGCCTATTCAGACGACTTACGTTGCACCTATCCGACCATGGCTCTATTAGAACCGATTTAAACACATACACAAACTTACCAGACTCCATCCGAAGCATACTAGTAAAAAATACAAGCATAATATCCTCATCCACATGTAAAGTATACAGACGTTGGATATTATGAATATTCATTAATATATATTTATACCTCTGTTACATAACATTGAACACTGTATTTAGAACACCTGAGGAAGAAATACATTTATACGTACGTGTGTATATGTGTATTTTGTTTTCCATACATATTTTTAAATTATATATATATATATATATATATATATATATATATATATATATATTTATTAAAGCCACGTATACTTTCTTAATAAATATATAAAATATAAATAAAAAAAAATAATAATATTTTTTATTTAAATATTATTTATATTTTTTATATATAGTCTTTTGATAATATTATTACAGCTAGATTTACAAAAAAAAAATATTGAACATGAAAGTTCCATATCACGTGACGTCCACATATCGCGACGGACGCTATTTGTAAACAAACCTCTAAAAACAATTATTTCTGAAGAAAGATCGAGGTCGATCTAATTTAAATATGGCAGAAAAAATATATAAAAATATAAATACCAAATACGTTCATAAAAAAACATTATTATTTTCATAAATATATATATATATATATATATATATATATATTATGTTCACACACAATCTGACAACGTAGACCTGTTTAATAGGTGTAATATTGGAGGAATCGAGACTTTTATCATACAGTCTCAGTTACGGTGGACTGGTCATGTCTTGAGAATGTCTGATGACAGGATACCCAAGATCCTAATGTACAGCCAGTTAGATCAGGGCTACAGGAATGTAGGACGCCCATGGCTAAGATACAAAAGACAAGCTGAAAAGCAACTTGTCAGCAGTCAATATACCACATAACACCCTTGAGCGCTTAGTTTTGGAGCGGGTAGAATGGAGATCAACGTGTTTTAGTGGACTCAGCAATTTTCAATCTGCTTGTCTGAATCATCTTCAAGAAGCGAGAGCAAGATCTAAAAGGTCAGCCAATCTAACAGTGATCTCATCTCACAATCCTCACACTAGCTCCATATGTGGCCTCCTTTGTAAATCACTAGCGGGTCTTAAATGCCACTTAAGATTATCGCACAAAATTTCATAACTGAATCAATAAGCTGTCAGATCCTCATACGTCGAAACCGACGGGAGAGTTATATTATATATATATATATATATATATATATATATATATATAATATATATATATATACATATTATAATATATATATTCATAAATATTTTATTTTAGTTCGTCTTATTTCAAAGAAATATTTTGATAAAAACATAAAAACATTGATAAATTCGGATAAATGCACAGCATATTTCACGTATGTATGTATTATAGATTTTTACAGAATTATTATAGACTTATTTAGGAGATAAATATTTTTTTATAAGACACATTTTTATCATTATTCTTTGTTCATTCCAAACTGTTTGTTTAAAAAAAAATTTTCCTTCATTTTTCATTCAGAAATGAATATTAATTTGAAATGATTTTCCAACCTAGCCTTTTATTCCGGACTTAAAAGTAGATGACCAACAAGTTGCAATATGATAAAAGAAAAAAAAAATTCAGCATTCACGTCAGATATTTAGAGAAGATTGAAGAAAAAAAGGGAAAATTTAGTGAAAAATTTTAACGAAAAAAAAAAAATTTTTTTAAAATTATATAAAATAT